AGCTGCCGAATTGCTCGCTCACAGCTTTAATGCCAGCAGCTCACAAAGTAGAATTTTTGCTCACAAGACTCCACAGCTTAGAGGGAACATTGCACCCAGTAGTATTCCCAGGCTATGAACCTGCTTCTCGCCATCGCTGAAGCCACAGACTGGAAGTCTCCAAGCAGCTTCTTCATGGACCAATTCCATCTCAATTTTGTCTGGATTGAGCCTTGGTTTATTGGCCCTCATCCATCCAATTACTTTCTCCAGACACCTATTCAGGATTTCCACAGACCCATCTAATTCAGCTATTAAGGAGATACAGAGCTGGGTGTAATCTGCATGTTGATGACACCTCACTCCAAATCTCCATACGACCTCTCCCAGCAGTTCCATGTCGATGTTAAATAGCATGGGAGACAAGGTGGAACCCTTGTGGAATCAACTAGTCAGCTAAGATCACTGAAGCATGGTGTCTCCGACTCCCAACCCAGCCAGCCTATCCAGAAGGGTACTATAATGGTATCAAAAGCCATAGAGAGATCCAGTAGAATCAACAGGGATGCACTAACCCCGCCACACTCCCAGCCAGTGTCATCAGTCAGGGTGACCAAGGCCATTTCCACCCTAAAACTAGGCTTGATTCAACCAGATAAAATGTGTCCAGTAGTTAGGCACATCTAATACACTTAAATATATTCTGCTTCTGAAGCATCTTGTAAAAAATAATTTAGTAAAGCAAGTATGCAAATAGCCTTTATGGTAATGATGAAGATAAGGCTAATGTTGTGTCCTGACCTAGCCATGTGCTCAATCCAGTTTCGGCCGGTTCCACATGCGGTCAGGTGAGGTACCTGAGCTTCGATCCCAAGCACAATAGACATTCGGATCCTAGTTCCAAGCCAATCGGGAACCTGGACTCCTCAGGAATAATCTAATTAGTGTAAATAGACCATTCACGGGTGTGTGGGGGGTGTGGGTGTGTTTTCCTTTGGGCATATAAACCGGCCTGCGAGCCGGCTACTTTGTCTTGTTCTTCTCTGAATAAAGTATGAGAGCTGAATGCACTAAGTAAGTCTCAGTACTTTTCAGCTAACATCAGGGGCACCTTGATCTCAACCCAGTTTGCAGTGTTCCAGTATGTATCGTTGACAGTGTTGTAGCTTTGCGGAAAGGGAAAAGAGACCAGTGATAAGCAGTTGTAGGAAAAACTGTAAACCTGAATACCTATGGGCCTGGAATAAATACTTTATAGGGACAATAAAATGTGTGTTGTATCAGTTTTGGACTTTTGCTCCTCTCTATTTTCTAGGAAATGGAATCAAAGTGGTAAATTTGATTTCCTTGGAGATCCAAATATTTACAGTGTATTTCGTTTTTATTCTGCTCTTCCTCTAAGGAGCTTAAGGTAGCATGCATGGTTCTGCTCTCCTCTGATTTGTCCTTTCAACAATCCTGTGTGGCAGGTATTGATAAAAGAGAGCGACTGGCCAAGATCACTCTTTCAGGGTAAGCAGGCCTGAGTCTCTCTGGTCCTGGCTGGACGCTGTAACCACAACGACATACTGGTACTTTGTTTGAGAATTCTTAAAGTGGGATATTTTATACAGTGGCTTTGGTTCCTGTTGTATAAGATGTGATATTGGTGTCAAATAATTGTAAATACTTTTTCTTACACTTTGGTAATAAAGAGTTAATTTTGCGTAGCAGCACTTGTCTTGATGTTTTCTCCTTCCCTTTTGTCTTAACGACATGCCGCAGTGGGTGCTGGTGTCTTGACATTATACTTTTATTGTTTAGAGAAGGAGCCAGTGGGATGTATATTGTACCCGGAAACACATTCGCATTGTTAGACAGGCCCTAGAACAACCCATTTTCGGGGCATGAAAGATCGTTTTTGTTCCTGGTCGTGTCGTAATAGAACAGTTTACAAAAGTATTCTTTGTGCATTCGTTGTGTAACTGACAAATTTCGGATACTTTAAGAGATCTTTTAAAAAGAAAAAAATCAATCATTTGTACTTCGTTCAATGGTTGCTTCCTGTTTTTCGAAAATCACTTTTAAAAATTGGCCCACACATATACAGCTTTGTTATGAAGACTCCCTTCTCATATTAGAAGTTGCTGCCTGTTTGTGTATTTAATAGCCTCTGGGAATAATAAGCAGCCTTGCGGATAAGTTCACAGAAGTTACTAGTCTATACAAACATTTTCGCAGCCTACCTCCAGTGCATACTGAAATTTAAATACCACTTTAAAAAACGAGAGGGGAGGTAGAAACCTTTCTTATTTCAGGCCTTTAGACACTCATTGTGGGATACGAAATGAGAAACTTAAAGGGAAAATAATACACCTGGATAGACAACCACGACCATAGCTGCATAAGAGACTTTCTTTCATTGTTGGGTTCCTTTTACAACTTCTTGTAATCCAAGACAAAACTGACACTATTTTAGCAAAACTATTCTCATACAAACCACCATATTATTTATTTCTTTGTTTACTTAAAACACCTTTATGCCACCTTTCCACCTGATCAGGATCCCCAAGGCAGCACGCACAAAAACATTAAAACACTTGAGCCACTAAAAAGAACATTTAAACTTATAAAGTAATTTAATAAAAACACATAAACAAATAACACAAGAATCAGGGAGGAGGGCCAGTAAGTGTTATTGGGGGTATGCCGAATGAAACAAGGAAGGCTTCACCCACTGGCAGAAGACACCGATAGGAGGAGACAGATGAATCTCTCCGGTGACGGAATTCCAAAGTTTTTGGCGCAGCAACCGAGAAAATCCTGTTTGGCTCTCTCTGCCTTTAGTTTGAGCTGTGGTTTCACAGAGCTCAAGCCAGAATTTATTTTTAATACTAGGGCTAAGCTTAGCACAGCTGAAGCAATGGGTGATCTCTTAACATTAGTAAAATGCTCTTTTAACTTGGTGAGCAACAATAAGCAGCCCTGCATCACCCTAAAATAACATATGAACACAGTTTCCTTGCCAAATAATAGCAACAACTAGTTCTGGTACACGGCAGATCTTTTCCAGCTATAACAGCTTCATGGCAAGGGAAAGGAAACTTGAACTCCACTCAAAGACAACACCCACTGAGGACATAGGCAGTTGTTTAAGCAATTATTTTAATTTTTGAGCAACTATTACACTGAGTATTTTAATTAATTGAGTTTGGATTAATGCAAAAGGGATACAAAACAACAGAGCTTTTTGCCAACAAGGCAGTAGGTTGCTGGTACAGACATACTGTCTCAGTTGATGAGAATACAGCTGGCCTGGAACCGAGCGTGATAAATTGTACTCATCCAGCAGAATGTACTGCGGTGTAGAGACAAAGAGCAATTCATCCGCATGCTTGCTTTGGGATGATATCTAGTTGGCCAGATATCTTATTAATAACCAGTATGAATAAATAAATGAGGCAGGAACTTGTGTAATCTGTGGACAGAAGTTGTTATTGCATAAGTGCATTTTAACAGAAGTTGCTGTCACAATATTGCATGCATTCCCACCGATTCAATGAAATAGCATAATCTGTTTAAATCAGCGAAGAAGTACTTGGCTATAATGCATCAGTTTGTCTTCAGGTTTGACAGGCCTTTGGAAATTTGAGTGTAATGCTTTTCTGTCTGTAATGCCAGTATGTGAGGAACTGGTGGTCTGAAGCATGTCCATGGGGGACCCAGTGCTCGCTAAAGGAGGGAACCACCGAGAAATTAGTAATGCAAGCCAAATAATCCTTCTCAAATTGGCTGGAGTCTAAGACCTTTATAAAATTTCCTTGTCATGTTTACTTGCTCCTCTGAGCCACAAGGGAGACCTGTTCTTTGGCTATACACTACCCTGGTGGATGGTGTTCCTCCCTGTCTGACTCACCCCGTTCTCATCCACAGAGGGGCTGGGTCTGAAAACTAGCTTGTTTTGTTAATCAGTAGCTGAATGCTTGAGCCATTCCTAGAGAGGGCTCTGAAACTTGGTATGAGCTGTACTGAATAACATGGCATCTTCCTTGGAGCACAAATAACTTGCCTCTATTGCATCAGGAATCCAATTCTTATATTTTATTCTTCCCTTCTTCCGAGATGTGCAGACTGGCATATATAGCCCGCCCTCCCTTACTTCAAATAAACAACAGCCCTGTGAAGCAGTTTAGGAACTGGCACAAATCCCTTGCAGTGCAATCCTCAGCAGAGTCGTAGCTTTCTAAGTCCTGTGAAGTCAGTGGGCTTAGAAGGGCGTGACTCTGTTTAGGGTTGTACCGCTAATGAACTTCATGGTTGAGGGGGGAGGGGTTGTGCCTAGGTCCTAGTCTGACATTCTGTGTTACACTGGATGAAAACATTTGGGCATAAAATTATAGATGAATAATAGCTGGGAGATCATAAAGCTGTTAAAATTATTGGTTCTGTTTCCAAATTTGCTGGATTTTATAGATGTGTACACTTCATAGGAAATGCTGTATTGTTTGGTACGCAGTTCTTTACTGCAGACTGACAATCTGTTGGAACTAATTTTGAGGAAGAGCTGGATTTGAATCCAGTACCCCCTTAGAGACCAACAAGATTGTTGGGGCATAGGCTTTCAAGAGCTGTCTGACGATACCTGAGAAAGGGAGCTTTGGCTCTTGAAAGCTCCTGCTCTTGTTAGTCTCTAAGGTTCTACTGGACTTGAATCTGGCTCTTCCAGTGCAGACCAGCAGGGCTACCCTCCTGAAACTAAAATCGAGGAAGTCCCTGAAAACAGCTGTGTTAGTCTAGGACAAAATGCTGCTCAGTACAAAATGGAGCAGGTTATTTCTGCGGGAAGAAAGGTACCCTGAGTTCATGTTTAATGCCATTTGGCATGATCCCGCTAAAGTTAATTGCTTCTAAATGCTATCCAAATAAGTGGGATTTAAAAATGTTTAACTTTGGCTGGCTGCTTCACTAATCTTGAATTAGATTCTTGTGTTCATTTCTAAGTAGCTGCTTCTGTAAGGTCTCTCGTAAGCTGTTTACAAAAGTGCTTCCCTTTTTTTCTCCCTCAGCTACCTTTTGAATTGGAGGTTTATTACATCCAGCATGTCATGCTGTACGTTGTTCCCGTCTACCTGCTACGGAAAAGAGGTAAGTCTGGTGTCCATGCCGTCCCTCCCAAAGGCCCACTATTCTGTTTTATCCACGGAAAGCTAAATGCTCCCTCTAAACCACTGGTTCCCAAAGTGGGCAATGCCACCCCCTCAGGGATCAATCCTAAAAGAAATCAAACCTGACTGTTCCCTGGAAGGGCAGAAAAGCATCTACTTCTGCTTCATTGACTATGCTAAAGCCTTTGACTGTGTGGATCACAACAAACTATGGCAGGTCCCTAAAGACGTCGGAGTACCAGACCACCTCACATGTCTCTTGAGAAATCTGTATAAGGGTCAAGAAGCGACAGGTAGAACTGGATATGGAACAACTGATTGGTTTCGCATAGGAAAAGGAGTACGACAAGGATGTATATTGTCACCTTGCTTATTTAATATATATGCAGAGTACATCATGCGAAATGCTGGCCTGGATGAATCACCAGTGGGAATTAAGATTGCTGGGGGAAAGATCAACAACCTCAGATATGCAGACGATACCACTCTAATGGCAGAAAGCGAAGAGGACCTAAAGAGCCTCTTGCTCAGAGTGAAAGAGGAGAGCGCCAAAGTGGGCTTGAAGCTCAACATCAACATCACTCCTTGGCAAATAGAAGGGGAAGTCGTGGAAGTAGTGACAGACTTCACGTTCCTGGGATCCCAGATCACCGCAGACTGTGACTGCAGCCATGAAATTAAAAGACGCCTGCTCCTTGGGAGGAAAGCGATGGCGAACCTAAACAGCATGATAAAAAGTAGAGACATCACCCTGCCAACAAAAATACAAAGTCCGCATGGTCAAAGCAACCCAGTAGTCATGTATGGCTGCGAGAGTTGGACTATAAGGAAGGCCGAGCGCCGAAGAATAGATTCTTTTGAACTATGGTGCTGGAGAAGACTCTTGAGAGTCCCTTGGACTGCAAGAAGAACAAATCAGTCAATCCTAAAAGAAATCAACCCTGACTGTTCCCTGGAAGGCCAGATAATGAAACTGAAGCTCAAATACTTTGGCCACCAAATGAGAAGGGAGCACTCACTGGAGAAGACCCTGATGCTGGGAAAGATTGAAGGTCAAAGAAGACGGGGACGGCAAAGGGTGAGATGGTTAGACAGTGTCATAGATGCAATGAACATGAAATTGATCAAACTTCAGAGGACGGCAGAAGACAGGAAGGCCTGGCGTGATCTGGTCCATGGGGTCGCGGAGAGTCGGACTCGACTGTGCGACTGAACAACATCAAATATTGAACTGGAAAAATAGTGGTATTTTCCAATATTCCCAAATCACAATATCCATATGGTATTTGGGAAACATTCAGGAAACCCGTTTTTTTTCCTGATCCCATTGTACCCTATGGGGGCCATAATACTTAATAATCCCCATAGGGTATAATGGAGAATCGATCCGGGGGTATCTGGGGCTCTGATGAGCTAGTTTTTATAGGTAGAAGCTCCAAATTTGCAGCATAGCTGCTGGTGCCTCTTCTTACCCCCCCCCCAGTCTGAAAAAGATTGGATGAGGGGGTCCAATTCTATGGGCCCCCAAAAAGCTCCCCCATCCTCCATTGAAACCAATGGAGGAAAAAGGCATTTAGAGAGATCATGGTCCCTTTAAATGCCTTCTCCAAGCCACGTAACTCTGTTTAAATGCCTTCTGGATGAACTTGCCAAATACAGCCGAATACAGATCTCTGATATAGATCTCCGGTATGTATTTGACTTAAATAATACTAAAAAAATACAGATAAGGTATTTTTCGGGTATTTTTTCAGTTCACTTTATGCCAAACACCCTACCCAATGCACACTTCTTCAGATATCTTGAAACAGAGTCCCTCAAACCTTTGTTTGAGTCCAGTCACACCTTTTTAAAGACCAACAAAGTTTAATTCTGGGTATAAGCTTTTGTGTGCATGCACACGAAAGCGTATATCCAGAATTAAACTTTGCTGGTCTTAAAAAAGGTGCGACTGGACTCAAACTTTGTTCTGTTGCTTCAGACCAACATGGCTACCCACCTGAATATAGGTGGGGGGTTTAGTTGCCAGGAATGGCTAGTTAGAATCAAGATGCATAAGCCATTGGACTCAAACTCAGTTCTCACATCTGTTTGTTAACTCTTCTGTTTGTTTACTGATCTGCTGCTATCCACAGGTCTTACCAATGGCTTTAATCCAATCTTAGCTAAACATATCACTCAGTTACTTATGTATCTTGACTCTAGCCCTTCCTGGCAACTAACCCCCCCCTTGAGGAAGTCTTTTTCAATGTGCCTGAAGAAGTGTGCCTGCACATGAAAGCTGATACCCAGAATTAAACTTGGTTGGTCTTAAAGGTGCCACTGGACTCAAACTTTGTTCTGCTGCTTCAGGCCAGCACGGCTACCCACCTGAATTAGAATGCTTGGTCATCCCATATGAAGAGAAAACTAGAACTAGAGAGTTTGGCTTGGTTTTCACTGCTGCTCAAATTCTACTAACCAGTTTTGGTCTTGTACTAGAAATGCAAGTACGCTATACACAACCATGATGAAAATTGTTTGCTATGGTTGAGGGGCAATTTGTTTCTCCCGGGCACAGAGTTGCCCTCTCCCTTCAGTTGTGGTGGAGAGCCCTTGAAAGTAGAAAATCTACTCATGCATGAGAGGGGTTGGTGACTGTCTGTGCAAGGCATGCCGGTCTCACGCACAAAGCAGAACATTCGTGTCAGCTTTGCATTTTGTAGCGTGTTTGATGTTTGTTTCCTTTGGGTTTTGTCAATTAAAAGGTCTTTTGGTTTTCCTTTCTTCCCCCATAAATAGGATTCATACTGACTAGACTGCTTGAATCACGTCACTAAGCTTAAAGCTGCATGAAATTGGTACAGTGGAAATGGGCAGTGTTTTTGCTGCAGGACATTTAAGGTGTTCTTGTGACTGCTGTGGTGTTTGAAAACCGTAAAGGCTTTTTGTTTTTTGTTTTTGGACAATGGTGGGAGATTTGACTTAAATAATACTTGGTGGGAGATTAAAGACAGACCAAGAACTTGCTAACGTTGGAGCTTGACTGTAGCCTCTTGCAATCTCCTATCGGTGTTTGTTTTTTCCTCCTTCTGCATATCCTTGCACAGCTTCTTGGTATTCATTGTCAGTCTGACTTCAGAAAGAAATGGTGGGTGTTTGTTGTGTTAGCGATTCTCGTTTTGGGGACTGCCAGTACCTTTTGTTGTGAGCTGGATACACCAGCCTCTTGTGGTTCCAGCTCTGTACTTTTTAGCGCCCTTTACAGCTATCTGCTGCCCTCTGGTGCTGGTCTGGTAACAGTGAACGCCACTCTGACCAGCATCTCTTGTAAAACTTTTGCTCTTCATGAATACTGCAGCCAAGCACGTCTTCAAAGGGGCCCATATAGCTCCCTGAGAGTGATCTACAAATAAGTGGTGGGGAGGGGATGTTCGGAATTGTGGGTGGCAGTTCTGACAGCCACTGGTGGAGAGTTATTTTATACTGCTCAACTCACCCTGAAAATGGAATTCCGATTCCCCGATTCCTCCCCCAAGCTCTTAAAAATCTCACAAAGCAAATATGAATCAAGCAGGAAATGCTCCCCCACACTTGAGGAGGAAAACAACACAAGTGATACACCACCACCAGTGAAACTTTTCCTAGTGACTTGGGAGGCAGATGATGATGATGATGATGATGATGATGATGATGATGATGCATACTTAGTAGAAGGTGGTGGATTAAAGGCTGAGAGGCACTGTTGTCGCCTGTAACCTCTTTTGGTCTTTTAAGGGCTCTTGACTGGTGAACACTGTCTTGGCTGCACAAGATCCACAAACAATAGCCTTATCTAATTCACCTGCATGGATTTATTGTTCTAGAAGGCTGGCAAATTCTGGCCATAGTACGCTTGATTAATTGGAAATTCATGTGTTCCCGGTAACATTCAAAAAGCAGCCAAGAGATTAACTATCTTAGTAAGAATGAATGTTAGGAAAAAGGAAGTATGCTCTAATAGAAGATGTAGATCTTTGTCATGGTCTCTGTGCATCACACCTGTGGGATAAGGTCCCTGTGCCAGCTCCAACCGGTGAACTTACAAACTCAGCAAAAGGATTTTCACACCCTTTCCCTGTGTCATGTGCGGGAACTCCCACCATGCATGTTCACAGGGTTATGGGGCGGACATTCCACCAGTTCTCTTCTGACCGCTGCACAGATTGGACAATCTTCACGGTTTGGTTGGTGAATTTACCTCAAACCTCCTTTCAGCTTCTCTTCTGGACTTCAGGGTTTTGCTCAGCCTCCTCCTTCTTCATCCTCTTTGACTATCTTAAAAAAGAGAGAGGCTTTCACTCTGGACTTTATCCCCCCCCTTCCCCTCCCCCCTCCCCAATTTTTTCTTTGGAAAAGTTGTGGGGATTTTTCAAAAGGTGCACCCAGTGTGGGAGGAAGTCCGCTCACCCCAGACGGCCACTCCTTGTGCTTATTTTGCTTCAGAGAAACCAGGTTCCTGCAGCCACTTTGCCAAATTCTCTAAACAAACTAGGAAGAACTGGGTGGCACAACTTTGGGCAGCACTCTTGGAATCTGCTCTGACTCCCACAAAAATGGTGTCAACAGCCTCTGTCCAGCAAGATAATGCCAAATTGGCAATCATGTTGATGGGGCATACTCTGCCCTCGGGCCAGGTCTCACAAGCCACAACTAAGGCCCTACCCAATACCAGCCTTTCAGCATCGAAAAGGTCCAGGTCGACATCAAAGTTGGCATCATCTTCCCCAGTCAAAAAACGCAGGGAAGAAGAGCCATATGAAGGACAAGCATAAAGCCCCCAGGACAGGCTCTCACCAAAAGTCTCAGAGCCCTTGCCATGGCTCAATGGCTCATGAACATGCTACTTCCATGAGATCTCCAACACCGGACCTGACGCAGATCTCAGCGAATCCACCACTGCAATTACTGAAGAAGAGAAGAAGAGGAGATTGGATTTATACCCTGCCCTTCACTTGGAGTCTCAGAGCGGCTTACAAACTCCTTTCCCTTCCCCTCCCCACAACAGACACCCTGTGAGGTGGGTGGGGCTGAGAGAACTCTTTCAAATTGCTCTTTCAGGAACAGCTGTGCCAGAGCTTGTGACTGACCCAAGGTCACATCAGCAGGTGCAAGTGGAGGAGTGGGGAATCAAACCCGGTTCTCCCAGATTAGAGTCCACACACCTAACCACTACACCAAACTGGCTCTCTGATCCATTGGCTGAACTCCTTGGTGCTGTAATCACTGACAACAGTTACTCATGTCCAACAACTCCAGTATTCGTAGTCGGATGCTGAGGAGATCAACTTGACTCAGTGAAGTGCATCTCGCTTATCCTGCTCCAGATCATTGAGCCGGGTTAGCTCTCCATCATGATCAATGGTTGGCAGCGAGTTTTGACATTGTTTATCCAGCACTCAAATGGACACCCACCGAACCAGAGCCCACCCCCGGTAGCTGTCCCTTCGACATCGGAGCCGCTCACTTCACAACGAGGCGCCTACTCCTTTCCAGCTGTCGAGTATGGCTCCCCTAATCTCTTGGAACCAACAGCAGCTACAGTATCTCTACTGGGCTTTTCCACTTCCATCCACTCTCCCTTGGCTCAAAATGAGGAAACCCTCCAATTGGGATCAGTGCTCAGCACGCTTGCATCAATCCCAATCACCTCACAGGTTTACAACACTACCAGCAACCTCGACTGTCAAATCTTTGGTATCGACAAGCCAACCCCACGAACAGCACAGAATGGTGCACAGAGAGGCACCAGCGGAAGCTGCTACAGCCTCAGCATCGATACCAATGGCTATTGCAGCCTTCGGAGGTTTCTGATGCCGACGAGCTGGAAAATGCATCAGGCAGGGAGTTGGACAAGGAGCACTCTGAACACCAAACTTTGCATACCGGTCCCTCACTTGACCCTACAGGTTGCAGGCAACCAACCTATATTTTCATCAGAAGACTTAAAATCGTATGCCAACCTGATCAAATACACTTGGCCCATACACTTGGACTGTCCATTGCCCAACCACAACCTACCGTAACAGATTCAATCTTTGACATAGTCCAACTTTTCAGTATGATTTGTAATCCTGCCTTGAATCACAGGAAACGGGAGATAAAATATTTGAATAAATAAGTAGTTTGGGCGGGTTAATAACATTTAAGCAACTCCCTGTTTATTAGGTTAGGCAGCGTTCTCACCGTGATTGTTCCACCTCTGTTATATTTGACCTGTAATCTCTATAATAATTCTCTGTTGGTGGTGGCACGTTGCTGAACATTCCACATGCTCCCAAATCAATATGCTCCGTGATGTGTCACTCAGAAACTGTCCCTATCCACTGGCTGCGTTGCCTGAGTCCTGCCTCCAACATTCTAAACAGTTTGCTGTTCCTCAACCCCCATAGCCAGTCGAAACACAGAGGTCATTTGCATATGCAGCCTCATTGGCCTTTGCCTCTAACATTCTAAACAGTTTGCTGTTGCTGTTGGGAGTCACTGAATGTGTCCTGAGGTAAAATTGCCAGTCTCCCCGTGGGGCCTGGAGATCACCCAGAAATCACCGTGTTCCCCAGCCACAGCAAATCATTTCCCCTACAGAAAATTTCCCAGCTATTATAAGTGATGTCTAGATGACCAAGATCAGTTCTCCTGGAGACAATGGCTACTTTGGGCAGTGAACTCTATGGCATTATACCCTGCTGAAGTCCCTCCCCACCGCAAACCCTGCCCTCCCCAGGCTCTACCCCTCAAATCTACAGGTATTTCCCAACCCAGAGTTGGCAGCCATGTAATTGGCTATGGTACCACTTTCCAGACCCTTGGAACCCAGAAAACATGGCATAGGAAGAGGCGCTTTTCTGCCTTAGCTGTGACTGCACAGCCCCAAATTAACATAAGCCAACCTCCAGGCGGCACCTGGAGATCTCCAGCTATTAAAACTGATGTCCAAATGACCAAGATCAGTTGCCCTGAAGACAATGGCTGCTTTGGGCAGTGAACTCTATGGCATTATACCCTGCTGAAGTCCCTCCACACCCAAACCCTGCCCTCCCCAGGCTCTACCCCTCAAATCTACAGGTATTTCCCAACCTAGAGTTGAACCATGTAATCTGCTATGGAACCACTTTCCAGATCCTTGGAACCCAGAAAACATGGCACAGGAGGAGGTACTTTTCTACCTTAGCTGCCACTGCATAACACCCCCCTCCCACCCAAAAAAATAAGTCAGAGGTGGAGAGAACCATACCTGTTACCATGAGGCTGTCCTCCCATTCTACCCACTTGGGGCAGCAAAGTGACTTGAGACAGCCCTGCCTTATAGCTAAGCAGAAGGAAAGAAACATGGCTTGCCTCCCTCCATTTTCCCCTTCCCTCTGCCACCCCACTAGCCACAGTCGGGACACTCATCTGGAGCTTCCTTTTAGATCTCGTTGTATTTCTTCCCACAACGGACATTACTCCTAGTTTGTCATATTTCACTAAAACAAACCCAAAGTAGATTGCACAGGTTCCCCCACCCCCAAGTATGTTTTCTAAGGCTCAGCGCAGGACGACAGTCCAAGGCCAGGTCTACCAATATTGTGGACTGGGTCAGGTAGACCTGTTCTCTGGAGGCCAGGTCTATCCCCATAGAGGACAACATTTTCTGGGTTTTTTTAAGCCCCTGGAGGGGATTTTTTTTACAAAAACTACAACAGAAAAGGGGGAGGGAAAACTACATTTACAGGATAAAGCAAAGAACCCACTACTAACTAAAATCCCAAGATGGGAGATCCTCCAACTAGCTTAGTTACATTCAATCTTCCCATCATTTATAACATTATAAACTGAGTCAAGCAGTTTTCTGTAATGAAATTTGACAATTCTGTTTTCTCTTATAATGTTTAAATTATTCTTAAAATACACTTTTTACAAGGTTATGGAAATAATCTAAAAAACTAATGTAGACTCACAACTCACAAGGTGGGTAGCCATGTTTGTCTGTAGCAGCAGAAATGAATCAGGAGATGAGCTGCAGCAAACAAGCTGGTGGCTAATCTGTCAACTTCTCCACCTGCTGGCTAAACGATGTACTGCTCACGAAAACAGTCTTGTGGCATTGTAAGGCATGACTGTATGTTTTTGAGGACCAGCACCCCCATTGAATAGATAAAGCATGCCCCTGGTTAGCTGATGTACATGCATGGATATGCAGAAAGTGGATTGTATGCAATTGTACGTAACATGGCAAAGTGGGATATAAACACCTATTCATATACTATTGTACCCTATGATTGTAAATGGTGACATCAAAAGATAATAAAATGCAAGCAGTTCAGGTTGCCATTTCTCTCCCAAGCTCAAATGTAAGCAATACAAGCACAGTTATCACTCCCAACAGCAGTAATAGTGTCAACTTGGCTTATGAAGTTTAGTAAGACTGTAGTATGAGAATAATCCATTATTTTGATTGAGGGCCGAATAAATGGAATCAAACTGTCTGACAAATGGTGATCCAGCCATTTCCTATATTTTAATGTGGATTTGTTTTATCTTCATTTAAAATGAGATTGCTCTTTGACATTAAAGTAGCCTAACCCAGCAGCCACAGATGTAAAGATTTCCTTCTGTGGGAATTACATGTCCAGACCAGGGGTCATTTCGTAGAAAAAGAGGTGCAGGAGCTCATTAGCATAACTCATTAGCATAACTTATTTGCATATGCCACATCACCTGACATCACCGGAAGTGTGTCAGAAGGCAACACCCACCACTCAGGCTCCACTGGACTCTTTTGGATTGCTAGCTATTGGGGGGGGGGAAGGTGCAGATCTGTCCTCGCAGAGGAGGGAGAGCTTGTACCTGAATAAAACTTGGTCTTAAAGGTGCCACTGGACTGTTTGGGGCCGGGGGGGGCTGGGGGGGCTCTGCAACTTACCTGGCTGCTTCTTGCTCTGACTGAGGGCTGCTGGGAGCAGGGGGTGGGGCTTGTTGCATGTGCCTGCCCCCTGGGCTCTTTATTGCTGGAGCTCCACTCCTGTGTGCTCCTGCAGGAAATGACCCCTGGTCCAGACAATCAGGTTGGGGAGGCCGCAGGGCCTGTAATGGGTGTGTTTGGGGCTTGGGTGTTTGTGCTGGAAAACCATATATGCCGTAACTCTATTATATGGAATGCACTTCTGTATTTGAAGTACCTAGAATAAAACCTGCTGTGCTAGGATGAGTGGCTTACTCAGTGATCCCTGCCCTAAGGAGAGAGTGACAAAGAGGGGGAAGGGTTAGGGTTAGAGATAAGGGATGGATGTCAGTGGAACTCCCTGCATCTGGGAGCCCACAGGCCTGTCAACACCTGTATGTTTTTGCAGATCTGTCTCTGCCCCACTTGACAACTTCCATTTCTTGATGAGGCCTCAGCCTCGGGCTTCTCTCTTGTCAGAGGCACTGCAGGCATTTATCTCTGAAAGTCGAGCAATCTGGCTGAACAGTATTCCCCCCCTTTTAAAACTCTGTCTCTGACAGGTATCTACACCCCTGAACCACCTAGCGATTTCTGGTGGGCTCTGCTGTCCACTGGACTGATGTTCGTCTATCACTTCAGCATCTTACAAATTCTGGGACTGGTGAGTCAATGTTCATGTTAATTTCCATGCCTTTTTTTTGCTAGAACTGGATTCAAATCCCCCCAGGTTCACTGGGCAATCTGGGGCCAGGAGGATCCTCTTAACCCCACCTCCCTTTCAAGCTGGTTGTTGGGAGCCGTGCGTGTCGCCTCGAACTCCCTGCATAAGGGGCAAGAGAGAGATGGAATAAAATATTGCTCATTGTATGATATGCAAGTAAAACTGGGGTTGGGGACAGGCGGTGGTTAGTATGGGAATTGGGAAGCTGGGGATATTTGGGGGGGGGGGTTCAGCGCCCAGGCAGTTAAACTGGGGAGGTTTCCAGGCAGAAGTGGCAACATTAGGAGCCCCTCCTGCATCCCCCCCCCGTTAACTTGTACAAGGCTGGGCAATCATGGGAGGTGGAGGTCTGAGAGCGACAAGCTTGATGCTACCTGGTTACCAGGGGAGTTGGGCGAATAAGTCGTTGCGATGAGAATCAGCCGAACACGCTCCCCCTCCTCTGTTTCCCAGGTCACACAAGTGAACTTGAACAACATGCTGTGCCCTGCCATCTCCGATCCTTTCTACGGCCCCTGGTATAGAATCTGGGCATCCGGCCACCAGACAATCATGACGATGGTTCATGGGAAACTCATAACCACGGTCTTCTACGGTGCTGTTCCTGTCCTCAAATTCTGCATGGATTTGCTTCGACTCCCAGCTAAGAAAATGTCTTGACTCTTCTCCAGAGAGGAAAGTGCTTGCAGGCGGCAGAAAAGAACGGGGGTTTTGGTTTCTGTGCTGGAGAAGAAAGGGACGGGCCAGGGGCCACACATTAGCGGTCCCTCCCGTTAAGAAGGGAGGCGTTCTTCCCGTCACCCTGACTGCTGTCTTCACTGCCCATTGCCAATGGCGAAACTTGTGGCCTTACCCAAGGAGAGGGTGATATTTATTTGGTGTACAATTTGTAATCTTGACAATAGAATCTTGGACCTTTTTTTTAGCCTGAAGGATTTCAGGGTTTCCTCACCTCTTGCGACCCAGTAAAGGGCCTCCTTTGATACGATTACTTTTACCAGCTATCCTGTGTGTGTGTGTGTATTTAAATTTGCCAATTTAAAGTATAGGAAGTCAAACAGATAGGAAGGTCACTCTGTCCCACCTTGTGGGCACTCACCACTTGCAGAGGGCAGGTGTTGCCTTCCCCCCAGGGCTTCCTTTTGCCCACAGCCGTTTCTGCAGTTGTTTTGTTTCAGGGGGTGGGGGTGGGGGAGGCTCTGCTCTGCTCTGCTCCAAGCTGGTTGAAACAGTGGGGAACAAGAGGGGGAAGGTCCTCTCTGGAAATGGCCTCCCTCGGCTGCTGTGGATTCTGCTCCACTTTGCTCAACTCCCACCATATCCGGTAGTCCAGGGACTGCGCTTCTAACTGAGCTGGAGAGGGGGGAAAAGAAAAAAAACGCTGAAGTCAGCATCTAACAAAGCAAGGACTTAAATTAGGGTGCATTTTGACTCTGCTGAGAGCAACATTTGAATAGGAATAATCGTCCTTTTAGACTGTCAGGCTCGGCTTGGATCGAATTATAGCCCTCTGCAAACTGAGGCATATTTTCAAGTTAATGACAGCTTTCCCGTGGCTGCCCCATGGTGCCTACTACTCAGCAGCATTATTATCGACTCCCCCCAGAGGAACCGCGGCCCTGCTCGTGTCCTACTGGTTGAGTAGAGGTGCCAGGAGTGGAAGCAGGATCTCTGACGACGGATTATATAGGCGTATCTTCTGTGTGAGAGTTAGCATGGATGAAGGGGGAACAGTGAACCTCTTGAGCCCTCTGAAAGAGATGCTGATCTGGTTTTGGACTGTCGTCGCAGGAATGTGTGATTCTCTTCCCCCCTCCCCCCTCCCCCTATGCCTTAGGTTGCATCTCCTTAGTTGTGAAAATGTAAGCTGCCACAACTGCCATAATTCCTGTGGGCAAATTGATCAGGTGGGATGTGTTCTGCACCATGCAGCCAGCGATACCTCAAGATGAGAGATCTTGCCTTAAAAGTCAGCATGACAGTTCATCTCGCTAACCAGAGACGATGCTGGGGTGGGGTGGGGGACTCATGGGGAGAAGGGACCACAGAGGGCGTTTCTGAGTATTTCTGCCCCTTTAATGAAACTTGAATTTATTTGTGAGTTGGCATCAAAAGAAGAGATGCCCGGGCTTCTGCTTCTGGATTCGTAAACCCCTCCTTTGAACCATCTCAGATCTGGCCCAGTGAGGAATTTTGTGGACATTATACTGGGAATGCTCTTTACTGCCACAAACGGACCAAATGGCACTTGGTTGTGCAATGTTGAGCTTGTATCTCGTAGCCCAGCACAACATTCATCCCTGTACATTTCATCTGTGTTTTCTCCTCTGGGGAGAGCTCTGCCTTTAGTCTGGTGATGAATCTTCACAGACCCATCTCCGTTTAATCAGATACACTGCTTTGGGAGTAAACAGGCGACAAAATGTCTACCTAAGTAGTTTAGCTTTAATCCCTTGTATCTTCAGGCGTGGGGATGGGGGGGGGGCGTTGAGAGAAGAGTTCCTATCCATTATGTTAGAATTTTTTTAATGTTCTGCAGTATAAGCCTAAAAGTACAAATAACTTGAACATTTTTAACAGTGAATATCTTGAACTTCATAAAGGCATTTGATTATCAAGGACAGGAGGGCTCTTTGATTGTGTCGGTGAAACCGAAGGGTGATCAGTCTTGCCTCCCGTCATCCTCACCTTCACTGCGTTCTTGGGTTTGAGTGACTCTCCTGGAATGGCAGGCTTAAAAGCTATCCGTGCTGTTCAGCTCTGTGGTATGTTGCATTCCACCATCTCTAAGCTTACTTGCCTTGCTTTCTCAGCCTCCTTAACAAGTATGTATGCTGGGGCTACATGGCCTCGATGACAAACAATTGGAACTCTCTCCGGAAACGATTTACTTTTCCCGACGGTGCCACCAATTCTTTCCTACCATTTTCCCCTTTGGGGCATTCCATACAAATGCACTGGAGAATTCTGATATATATAGTTTAGGCCTCTCTACCCCTTCCTTTTTTCCCCTGAGGCGGGTCATCAAATCAAAAGTGGCATTTCTGCTAGGCTTGGCTTACTTAAAAAAATCACTTGGTATTACCAAATGGACAGTATCAGCCGCAAGTGGCCACAATTATTTACTGGGAAGTGTTTGCTTGTGGCTTACTTAAAACAGTTTCCAATGCCCCCCCGCGCCCCCCCCCCCAAGCATGCTGTTACTTAAGAGTCCAGGCTGTTTGGTGGACTACCTTCAACCTATCCATAGTGGTAACGATCAATGCCCTGAATTCTATCCTTCATTCTCTTGTATATTGTGAGTTAAAGTTACTATTCTGGAGTAGATTGATATAGAATAAACACTTCCAACAGACTCCTCTGTGGATAAACAAAGTTTCCTTTTGCTGGTCATGGAGTCGCTTAGAAACTGGCAAACTCCTTCAGCATTCAACTAAGATACCTCCTGCACGGAAGAGATCCCCCAAAGTGAATTCATGTTGTAAGTTAGTATTCTACAAGTGGAGATTTCTTGGGATATCATCTCTCAGAAGCATAGAGTCTTACCCCCTTTAAAAAAAAAAACTGGGAAAGTTTTTCAGTGATGGAACAAATTTTAAAAACGTATGTTAAAAACTGTTGGGTTTCATGATGGGAGTCTGAAGTCATGGGCACCCTCTAGAAAGATGAGGTTATTAGTGCAGCGATGCTGTGTCTGTGCTAATGTAGAAGACTACCCCACAGCATGGCCTCAGGTCAGCCAGAAAGCTGTTCTAAACAGGGCAAATATGCACAGGGAAGGAATATTTCTTGTTTCTCTTGCTGGTGCCCAAAACACAGGGCTGCGGGACAAAGTATACTTGATAGATTGGATCCCAAGCACCGCCGGGAAGTTAGGGCTGGCAGGGTGAGTCCTCCTTTCTCCTCCTGCTGCAATCCATGGAACCCTCTGAAGCTCTGCTGGGGGGGGGGGGAAAGGGGGTTAAAGGACCCTCGGGAATAGTGGGGGGGGGAGTAGGAATTGGCAAAACCTGGCCTGTTCCTCCTCTGCCAACAGAAGTGCTCTTCTGTGGGTGTAAGAGTAGTTACATTGTTGAAGGGTACCTTGTAGACCCAACCCAATGTTGGGTAGAGGCCTGGGGAAAGCAACGGGGGCAGGTAAACCTGGTGTCAGACCACAATGAATGCCACCCCTCACATCATGGAACTCCGTGTATCTGCTTAAATGAAGGCACTCGGTTCATAGCAACTTCCATGTCTGATCTTTCAGGCAAGATCTCTGACCGTGCTCCCTCCAGGGCTTTATTACAACTCCCCAGGAGGGTGAGGTTCTGTCCAGCAGGACCGGTCTTTTGCAAACAAGTGGTGGGAACAATCCGTTTGTGCACATTAATGTTTTAAGAGTACCTCAGTGGAACTATCCTCCTGTCGCCTACATCAGGCGTTTGATATTTCTGTGTATTTGATAATTTGGTGTTTTGTAAAGCCTTTCTCTGGTTCCTCTTCTAGAATTGACTCCTTGCTCATTACGTACTTGATTTTATGCCTCCGTGCTCTGCACATACTCCGATTTTCTCTACATTTGTGGTTCCGTGGTGGAATAGGGTAAAACTAAGCTACAGTGTGCCATTTATCTTTTCTGTAGCAATTGTATCTGTGGGGTTTTGTTTCTCAAAGCAGGGGATGAAGAGGACATGCTGGAGGCATGTTCTTGCTTGTTTCTAATATATTCTTGCTGAACCAGGCCAAAATGAGGGGGAAGTTCCTTGGGTTTTTCTCCCCAACGGAACCCTGCTGTTTCCCACAAGTATCCTTTGGTTAGATGTACATTTACTCCTGTTTGCAGTTTTGGTAAAAGTCAAGCAGTTGTCTACCTTTTCAAACTGTATTGCTGTGTTTTGCTTTGCATTTCTTCTCAGTGTTGGTTTGTATCAGTAAAGCACATTCCAGCTTCCAACTTGCCTGGTTGCTGCCTCTCTGTGATGCCCCACACAGTGGAGTTTTGAAACTGGTGACTCTTCCTCTTTTCTCTCTTCCAGAGCAACACGGATGCTTTCCCCACTGCTTCCCAGTCACTTGTAGTACAGTAAATTTTGTAAAATTTTTGATTGTACTAACCCTGGTTATCAGGCAACGTTTTCAACGCTTTGTCTTTTGGTAATTCTGTCTCCAATGTCTCATCTCTATAAATAAAGTTCTGCTCTTTGGGTACTTCGTTGTTACAGTGTATTAGGTGAAATACTTAAGTGTTCTGTACTATGGATCAAAGCAGCCATCCCCTTTGAGTGCAGGCCAAGAATGATGGCTGAACGTTTAACCAAGGCCCAGATTGCCCTAAGCCACCTCAAGACTTTGGGATGTGCTCACTGGCTGGTTTTCCCTTTGAACAGTAATACTGCAAGCTGCTGTTGAAACTTGCCGAAATTCCAAATGTGGTTTAAGCGGCAGGGAGGGGAGTTGCATGGGAACCACAAGTCTCCTATCCCTCTGGCCAAGCAAAGCTACCATGTTTTCCCGAAAATAAGACACTGTCTTATATTTATTTTTTCTCAAGAAGACACACTAGGGCTTATACCACAAATGCATAGAAATCCTGCTAGGGCTTATTTTTGGGGTAGGTCTTATTTTCGGGGAAACAGGGTAATTGGACAGTCCCTGCCCCTACTTTGCTTATCTGGGCACTTACAGCGTGGCTGTGGTCGCTGTTATCCCTACAGTTTCCTCTTCTGAAATAAAATGGAGTTTTGGGACAACTGTCTATTGGCCTCAAGGCTGAACTACCTAGCACACCAGTCATTGGTCTCGGTAAGCACAACTCCACTTGCACCGCCCAAGCCCTGAGCACTAAACTCTAGGGTGACTCCCCATACCTACTGGCTCCACAACCAACTGCTCCAAGGCACAATAATCAGCAGTCTCTCATTACCTGTACCTTTTCCTAGTCAGTATGGGGTCAGTTGAAATCACCCCTTATCACACAATTGTTCTCCTTTAGTTGCTCTTCCCATGTCAAGATCACCCTCAGAGTTTTGGTCAGGAAGCAACAGCATTACGGCAGGTGTTACCTTTCAGCCTGGCATCTCTACCTTTAGTTAATCCTTTGAGGAAGCCTATTCCGGTGTTCTAGGTTATTGACCTCTCTGGATTTTTTTTTTGAACTCTCTGTGCTTTGAGATAAAGCTGCTCTGGAACCTTTTTGATGCTAAGCACCAGTGCTCTGGTTTCATTTTGGGTCAAGTGCAGCCTGTTTCTTTTGTACAGAATCAACTTGTCTCAGATTTGTTTCCTGGTGCCTCCCAAATCTAAACCTCCTCAGCACCAGTGTTTCCTCTACATACTTAGACACCCCCCCCCCTCA